GCGGAGGTGGCCAGGAAATTTTTATCGGGCTAACCTGGTCACCGTGTTCGCTCGCCAATTTATGACGTAGTTCCGTTACTGCAACGTGACGTTGATCCGTAAAAGCAATCTGCAGCCGGCCCGCGGATAACCGTGGCTTGTTTGCCCCCTTCGGTATTTGCGGACGCGCTGCCGCGGATCTTGAAAGGAACGAAATAGATTCTCGCGTCACGCACGGATCGCGATTTTCCGCGTCTATTGGCCATCCGTTTCGTCCACCATCGCGGCAAAAATTGCCGTCACGGTGAAAGATTCTTTCGTGCGTATCCGGGAATTGGTTCGGGTGGAATTCAAATCCAAGGAAATTGTATTGAAGTGAAATTTTTGTTTCTCTGAATACCGCTTCGTTCAGGGAATACTACAACACGATGAAATATTAAAAAATACTTGCTCTAATTTTATCTCACATAGAAGACGAATAACTACTACTTTTTGTTCACGCGCCGAAGCTCAATGTCGCGAGCAATGAATTCCCGCGGGAAGTGAAAAAGAAGTATCTACGGAGGTAACATTGTTTCGTTGGTTTCAAGGTAACGCCATCGGCGAACTATGCATGCGACACTTGTTATCCCCAACTTATGCACGTCCGGCTTGATAAGCTTTAAGTTAGACGGTCACGATCATCGTATAGGCAATACAGCGAAAGCGCGGATCGAAACTGCATTTTTGGAATTGCGTTTCTTCGTAGATGTCACGCCGGCGTCGATTTCGTTCGAGGATACCCCGTATAATCGACGATCATCGGGGCGTCGAGGTGAACGAACAACGAGGGTCGCGGATAATCGCGAGGAGCGGAGTGAACGCAAGGGAACGATACCCGGGAAAATTTCAGGGGTTCTTGCGACACCGGCGGGCGAACGACAACGTAAAACCGATTATCCCGTCGAAAGGCGTGCGTGGAAATCGGACGATCGAGCGAGATCGCGCGTTGCCCTGTCCGGGCCAATTATGTTCCCGATCTGTCAAAGTTACTCGACCGTGAAGCGGCACTGTTCCTCGAATATGTGTCACGGTAATTACCATATAATGGCCGGTACGCGATCACGCTGAAAACAACGATTTAAGAAAGCAGCCGGCCGCTCGTTATTCCCTTGAACTTTCCACGAACGGAGTAACGGAATCGGCCGGGTGATTCACCGATCCGCCGAACTAGCGAAACGCGGGCCGCGCGACGCGATCGGAGGGGGCAGCCAATTTTCCAGCAGGAAAAACCGTCGCGTTTTCGGAGGACGCCGGCGCGCGTCCCGCGCGAAATAGAAAGGCGAAAAGTCGAATATTTCGAAAGTCAGAGGAGCATCGTGTCGGGAGTATCGCTTTCCCTCCGAATTATTCGGCTCGGCTGAATAGAAAATAAACTCGAAAGCGGTGCTCCGCGAGACAGGCGAGCGAACGCGCGCGCGCGCGTGGCCCAGCGGCGTTCGCACGTATATACTCCGGTTTCTAAATCTAGATGAATCAGGAACTTCGATCACGGGGGACGCTTCACCGGTGAATATCATACCGGTCGCGGGAATCCTCGATTGATCCTCGGTTCTACTCACTGTCACTTTGTACGCGCGCGTATCCCCGTCGGCTTCTTCGAGTTATCCTCACTTGTGTCCGCGCTTGATCACTTCGCGTAGCATCGACGACGGCCGGTCACAAAGCGCGAGGGGGCCCTGGGTGCACGGCTCTCCTCCGGGCTTTTCTTTCGCCGCGGTGGAATTCTAATCTCGCGTCGGAATATGCACGGCTGGCGCGCGGCGCGTCCGTGACTCACTGGTGCCGACGTGCCCTGCAACGGAGACCGCGCGAAAACGATAACGCCGGGGCCGAGCGAGCGAGCGAGCGAGTCCAAGGGAAACTCCGGGAATCCCCCGCGAGGCGGAATGTCGCGTGCTCGAGCGTAAGCGCCGTGGCTGACTGCAACTGCAGACGGTAGGACGGACGATGGTCGCCGCCGCCGGTCGGTCGGTCGGCCGTTGCGTTGTGTCGTTGTCGGTGTTCGGTGTCTCGGGGCCGACGTCGCCCGTATGCGCGCCTTCGACTTCGGTAGCCGCAAGTGGGGGTCCAATGTTACCAGGGTACGCGCCCGCCGGTGCCAAGGGGGCCCCTACCAGAGGCCGCGAGAGCTCGACCGAGACTCGTCACCGGTAACTCCACCTTCCACCTCCTTCCACCTGACTACGACCGACCCGTTCGAGGGGGGAAAACGCTCGACGGTTCCCGGCCGGGGAATCAGGTGTATCCCGGGAATTGTTTTCGATGCACCCTTCTGCTCCGGATGCTCGGGAACCGACCCTGGTTGCGTCGTCGCGGCGGCCTGGAATGCTGCACCCGTCTGCCGGCGGAGCTGGGTTTTGCGGCTTCCTTGAAGCGGTCACGCGGGGAATTCGATGGCGCGGCGAACGGGTGCGCACGGAACGCCGATGAACAGGTGAATCTTCTCTGGCCGCGATGGAACAGGGGGCCGATCTATATTGGAATTTTCTTCGCGCGGTGTCGACGACTGTTCCTAGGAAGGGAAATTAGAAACTTTCGTCGCGTTACGTGTATTTAAAAATCGCGGGTCGGCTGATCGTTTTGTCTTCTATTCTGGTTGGCGTGGTTGCTAGATTCCGTTTTGAGTTTCCTTGTAAAGTGCTCGGTACGTTCAATACGATTCCGGCTTTCCATCGGTTCTCCCACGTTTGTCGTGAATAATCTCGATCGTTTGCAATAAGAGAACCGAGGAACATCTAGCTTCGTTTCATAACTTAAAGAATTTCGCAATCGATTCTGCGCCGCGGCTAAATTACTTGCAAAAGTTCCACGGTTCAGCGTGGCACACGTTCCTACGTAACGTTAAGCAGAGCTCGTTGCTAAACTCTGATCCGTGCTGGCGTGCAGAAACTAAAGTTTGATTTAAGATTAGGCCGGAGGTAAGCGCGCCGGGGGAATTGCCGTGATTTCAGTGCCCGGCAATTAACGGCCGTCTTTCGAGGAGGCGAATTAGTACGAAATTCAGTTAACCGGCCGGGACGTTTACAAAACGGCCGGCGATAGCGTAGACGGAACAATAGCGGGCCGGCTCGAATAGTTGCAAAGTGATACGCGATGGTACCGGAACCCGCGAACCGAATAGTCCGCATAATTACACGCGGTACCAGCTCTGGTCGATATTCCTATCCGGCTTATCGGCGTCATCGGACACGACGCTTTATCGTGGACGCTTCCCGCGTGCATTACGGCCGCGTCGAAGACAATCGATGCGGCACACATTTTCCACGGCTTGCGATCCGACCATGACCTCGAAATAATTGTTTCATCCTTTGTACGCGATCTACCGCCAGCCGCGTCGATCTCGCGGCAAGGGGAGAGAGAGGTGATTAACCCAGACCTCGCGCAACGCGAAACCGCTGGCCAATATTATCAACTTCGAGCCTGAATTTCACCGGGAAGCACGTTGCTGTTGCTCCTGTTATCGGTCGGATCTTAGATTTGTTTAGAAGAAACGCGAGGAATGGAGTTGATTGTGCTAACCACCGGTAAAACAGGTTTCTAATTTTGCTTTGAGCTCAAGATGGAGGTGCAATTCGAATTTCCAGGCTTAATCGCGTCCGATGGGAAGCACCGAAACGTAAATTGCCTCGGCCGTAGTATTAATCGATTGTACGCGAAGCACGCGAGTAACGTTGATAAAAAATGAAGCTATCGCATCGATGCTTCGCTTCTAGTGCCTCGTTACCCTTTTCTTCAAGGTAATTTGAAACTACATGCCTCTAGGTAGTCGTTTCTTTCTGCACAGACGCTAAGGAAAATGGAAAACCGACTTTCCCAACGTAAGAGATTTCAAAACGGAAAATTATGATTATCGGCAGTGGCGTTCCTATAATCACGATCGAAAGAATGCGCGGAACTCGCGTAAGGATCTGTCCGACGCGGGGGAAAAAGAAGAAATTGAGAAAGTCGAGCCGATCGGAACCGGTCGCGTTGCTCGATCTAGGTTGCTGGATTCACGGGTTATGAATGAAGGGACCTTTACACTCTGTTTCTCCGACTTCCATCGGATATTTCGGGGTCGAGTGAGTAATACCGCCGCCGATGATTAATTCCCCCGTTTCCATTGAGCAACGCCGCAGGAATTGCCTGTTCCGCGGGCGAGGAAAGGTGTCCGTGCGAGCCCGAGCAAAACCGTCCAGTGGCGCTTGCCGTGACGTCGGGATGTTATTCGAAGGATTATACGCAGGCGAGCAACGATGCTCGAGAGTTCTGATTTACGTGCCGTTTACGTCAGCCTCGTCTCATCTCCCGACAATGAGAAAGCTACCTGCACCTGTACGCGGCTATAATCACGGTATTTGCACACTCGGTGACCTTGCAGGTATCCGTATCGCTCACGGAGCCTTGAACTTGCACGCCGAAGAATCTCGTGCAAACCTGCTGGAGGATCGGCCCGATCTGGCTCCGCCGCTCTCCGATCCTTCAGCGTTTTCGACAACGATTTCCTCACTAATTATGTAATTCCGAGGATTTTGTAACCCGACGCCTCTTTTTTCCGCGGATCCGTCGATTGTTTCCCCATACAGATAAACCTAGAAATTTACCGATTTCCGAGCGTTTCGGGGA